GCCATGGATTGCCCAAAGCCTCATCTTCCATTTACATGGTTGTAACAAGTTGCATATTTGATGACCATTGGTTGATGTGTCTTCAATAACTAAAGAAAAGAAAATAAAACAAAACTAATTTTTGATATAAAATACTAAATTATATATATTATGTCATCCAAAAGTTTAGTACTATATTTTTATTGTCATTAGATTTAATATTTTTTTAGGAGAATATTAAATAAATCTAGATTTTTACTAAATTAACCTATCCATGATGAAAAATATGATTATCATGATGAATGTAGTGGAATTTTATTGGTTTCAAATCTAGAGAAATGAATTTAGAAGTTTTTTTTTTTTTTTTTTTTTTTTTTTTTTCTTCTTCTTCTTCTTCGTCCATGATGTTCAAGGATAAATTGGTCAATTTAGTAAAAGTTTAGATCTATTTAAAATTACCCTTTATTAAATGAAAGACTGTAAAATAACCAAATTATTTAAAAGTTACAAATTATACATAAACCTAAATCAAACAAGAAAACAGACTTGAGACCAATCCAAGAAGTAATATCTCACAAGAATCAACTACTTACACTTATAAAGATGAATAAATGGGATGCTACTTGAGCAAAAACAATAGTAATCCTAATATCCATCAAATTAATTATATTGAATTCATACAATGTTTTTAGGTGACAACATGTGTTTTAAGTAATAAAAGAATATTCAACTTTGAATTAAAAAGCCAAAGTGAAGTTTGTTGATGCTATCAATTTATATATTTAAATAGAATTTATAGAATTTTTTTACTTTGAAAAAAAGTATTTTGCAATATATTTCCAATTCTATCTAATTGGTGTAATTGACCAATATTAATGATGCACATGAATGTTTCAAATCATTAATAAAAGATAATTGATGCTTTTGAGGAATTGAATCAAAACCACTAAAACTCCGAGAAAAACTTAGTTATTAAATATTAAAGATACAAGAATTTTTTTTGTAAAATGTGAAGATAATTTTTAAGTTACACACGAATTTCAAAAGATACCACCACACAGTATGAAGAATGCTATTTAATCATTTACCAAAATTAAACTAGGTATAGAACGGCAATAATGCATGAGCCTTTCACTACAATTACTCATGAATTGTGGTGCGTGAAAGTATTAAGAAAAACAAAAACTGGATATTCAAGTTAAAGCGCATATTTTAGTGCAGTGGAATTTGGTGGTAAATTCATCTGTTTTTTTGCTGGTTTTGAATAATTTATAAGATAATAATAATCATAAAAATTTGATAGATATAAAATTTATGTATGCACGAATGGCACACATTATGAATAGTAGAAAATATAATCTCAAATAAATTATTGTCACATTTGTTTTCTTCATTGATCTTGTAGTAATATTAATGTCTTGATAGATTTAGTCATGACCGTCATGAGACATGATGAGTTTCATTGAATATTTCAAAAAAGATAACATAGAATATCTTCATTCTTAGTATACAATTTATTTTATTTTACTTTACTCTTATTTGAACTATATCATTATGTGCATTTTTATTGTTGTTTACTAACATGTTCTAAGATGGTAAAAAAATATTAATTGGTATTCCAAGTAACTATAAGTTGTAATGCCAAAAAAACAAACATTATTGATGTATTTTAATAATCAATGTCAATAGAGCGAAATTAAATGTAGATATGCATGGTTCAATAATTGTAGGTAATTACGTAGAGTATTGTATGTTAGAATGTAAGTTGGTCAAACAGAAGCCACGATCAAATCTACTGCAAGGTTTGTAAAAGACGATCAAAACTTTAATGCATGTATGAGTCTTTATTCATTATATCTCAGTGAGATCTTTTCTACCAGAATTTAAAAAATTATTTTTATCATTTACCTTGTTATGAACAATGTTAAATTTTTATTTATGTATGTATGTATGATTTTTAACTTATGAATTTATAACAATGTTTAAAAAACAGATGATATGAAAATGAAAGAGGTTTTTAGTATTTTAGAAAAATATCAATGGTTTGACCATGAGTAATATCTAGTTTTATGAAAACACACTGTTATCTCAAAATTATAATATATATAAATATATAATTATGTACACTCTTAGAGAATAAAATTGTAAGTCTAATTTTATAAAATTCTATTTACACTTTTTGAAATAAAAAATACTTATCTTAAAGTTAAGGCCTTTAATGTAAGTGTAGATCTGGTTCTATATTTTTTCTTTTCATTTTTTGACTTTTTTACACAATTTCATTTAAGAAAAAGGTATAATCATCAAAAACTAAAAAATTGATTTTCATTGGACCTCTTCATAATTACAACTCTCCTAATGATCAATGTGGTTGCAATATTGTGATTGCTACTAAACAAAACAGGAAAAGTTAACTTTTGGCAAAGTTATGTAGTTCAAATCCCACGAAAAAAATTAGAGAATAATCATCCTATTGTTCAAAAACCCACAAACGCCACAATTAAAAAACAGTACAAAAAAAGTAAAAATGTCAGATCTCTGTTCCAAAATGGTCGTACATAACCAGAGAGTAACTAGTTACACCACACTGGGGGCATCATCCGGTATCAGGAAGACTGTAGTTCGATTCCCGACCAGTACACACTAGTTGGAGAAGGAATACGAGCTCACACCTACTCAGAAGAACTTGTTGCGGAGATGGCGAACTAACTTGATTTCACTTAGAAGGGGACGGAGACGACGGGGACTGAGGAGGAGGGAAAAGAATCTATCGGCTATGTTATTTTCCAATTTCGAATGGCGCAGGAGGAATTCCCCAGTTTTGAACCCTTTAGGATTTCGATTCCCATAGAAAGCAGCGGTTAGTTGGATCGCCACGAATAGACAGACCCTGCCTGGGTCGGAGCTGGTGCAGCTGGGTCCAATCTCGTGACGTGCTGGGACTCTGCTTATTCCTGAAGCCCGGCCTCTCCACGGGGCAACCACCCCTCGCTCGCCCCGCTGAGAAGAGAGTGGGTAGATGATGTCATCCGTGAGTGCAATCAACAATCGGGAGTTCTAGACACGACAAGAAGAGCATGGGACTAGCTCGGCCAAATTCTCAGGGGGGTTACCTGATTTCGCAGGCAGAAACGGAGGCTTGCTGTTTCTGTCCGACTCCGAGCTCATTTGGGATGCTCTTTCTTGCTCTCCCCGGCACGGCGTCCGCTATTGGACCCCGCATTTCGGGGTAGTTGGCTATTTTAAGAGGCTGGTGAGAGGGCGCCACCGAGTGCAGTCTCTGTCTATACAAGGTAAACTTGGAGAGGTGTCAGGGATGCTGAATCCCAGCTCTTCATGACTCTCCCGAGACTTGAGTTGCAGGGTACGTAGTGCGCAGCTGATTTTCACCAACCGCTGGCGTCGGCACCAGGAGTGAGCTCGTAAGTGGTATCTAACTGTTTAATGTATCTACCCAGCGCCGGGAGAAGTTATAGCCTGATTCACAGCCTGAAATTGGTCAACGTCGTCCTCGTCCAGAGGTTCATGCATGTAACTCCTTTCAGCAAAACCCCTTGCGTTCGAGAATGGTCCTACGAATTGGGTGCAAACTTGATGTCCGAGCGTCTGTATCTGCGCATCATGCGATGATTGCCAGGCGGGAGTTGCCAGGAGCACCTTCAATGGTCGGACAAGTGGAATAACCAGTTCTATTTCGCATGGCATGGAGGACGCGCTGTCTTAAGTGTCGCAAAAAGCTTTCTACGTCGATATAAGCAAACTCAACACGCTTCCGATGCACAGACCGTTGTGTGCAGATGACGAGACGCTCCGAAAAAGAAATTCTTCGTATGAATGAAAATAAACTGGCGCAAAAGCTGTGTCTAATGGATCAATAAACTCGATACAAGCAGGGGCTCCTACACATTGATTCCTCAACGGTTGTCTATGTGCCAGGAATGTGCAACTCTTCATGATAAGAGCTCCTACTCTACCACCTCGTGCCCATAAATCAGTTGAACTGGCGGCACGGGAAAGCGCTGAGCGCAAGGAATCTGGACTCACATTCACGTTCACTGGAGCTCGTCACTGCCGGCCTGGAAAATAACAAAAACACTGGATGAATTGATTTATCTAGTTTCAGTGTTTGGTGTCGATCGTTGAATTTCGAACAAAAGTGAGTCTGCGACCTTCTAACCCACACTTGTGTGTCTCGCATCACCATCAGCGCACGATTCAAACATGACGAAGTAACCAGCACTTCAAAGATGTGCAAAATAATTCACAACATTTAAACCATATAACTATTATTTGAATAAATTTATTATTTATTCAAGTAATAGGACGCTGCATTTAATTATTTATTCAAATAAAAGGACGCTGCATTTAATTATTTTTTAAGAATCAATGTTTTCAATATGAAAACATGACATCCAAGCAAATTCTACCAATTCCATTCATTTTAATCAAAGCAATAAGAATAATCAAAAACTTAGCCTTAATACTAGATGATGTGGCAATTGAGTCCTAAAAGTTCTTAAAAAAACTACACACATAAGCAGAAACAAGGAGTCACTAATATCCCCGTATAATCTCAAAGCACAGAATATCTAAACCTGTAATTTTTTTTAATTCAAATACGATAAAGAAAAAAGGGGGAAAAATAATGAAGAAAAGAATCGAATGGGCAGAAACTTTCTTACACTGCCATTCAGACCCTTTGTGATAAGAGCCCGAGGTTGTGCAGTGGAGAGAAACCTTTTTGTTACCGAGATAGAGATGCACGTGATCAGCATCGGCGTGAAGCGAAGTGCACATCCCTTCGCAATATACTCTCTCTCGCACATTCAGCTTCGGCATCCACGGAATTAGGAGCTTGGGGACGGTCATAGGGGTGGAAACGCCGCAGCGGTAGTGTTATTCAACGGGGGGTGAGTTCCCGCCTAATGAAAGAGCGGGGGGCAGGGCTACAGACTCCTACTGCTCCTGCTTCTGTTGCTGCTTCTGCTGCTGCTGTTGCTGCTAATTACTACTCGTCGTCGTCGTTGTCGTCGTCGTCTCCTTCGGCATGCGTCAAGGCTAATGTTCCGCCCCCGAGCATCCCAGCCCACGCAGCTCTCCTCCTTGTCAGGACACCACCAAATCCGCCTGTCACTCCCCCCCCCCAACCCCACCCACCTCTCCCTTACTACCGTTCCTAACGTACAGCCCGCCGCAGCCTCTTTCTTTGGGAGCCTTCTCTCGTAAATCTTGGGGGGGGGAGATCGGGGGGTGAGTGTCAGGCAATCACCAGAGTCGTTACATTACTCTACCACTCTCCTGCTAAGCCTACTACAGACTCGTTCTTCGCTTCTGCCCCACCGTGCTTACTAACATCGTCTCCACTGCACTCCTTTTACACTTACACACACACGGCGAGTATCTTTTTTGTTATTTGTTCCCCTCCTCGATCAAATTGTTGCCAGTGTTCCTGGCACATGGTAGGGTGCTGCTGATGGTCATTGCAACTGGACCACTTAGACGGGACAAAGTTGTAAAGAGGAAAGTTGTGCTGTGTTGTGTTCCGCACCTGTTGATGGTGTTTGAGAATCTTTTTGAAGCAGAATATTTGTTTTTTTGTATTGAATTCTCTGTGTGAGCCATATTCGGTGGTGCATTGGAGGTGGAGTCATCGAGGCGTAACCATGCATAGTGAGCTGGTGGTCACAGTTGCTGTGTGTAAGCCAATATCACCTGTGTGCGATCGGTGGCGGTCCGACTAATTCCATCGGAATTTTGTCTGTTTCGAAACATCTACTTTGATGGTAGGCTACATGGAAGGTAGAATCAGGGAGAACAGCGTAATCCAAGGAGTTATGGATGATGACAGCCTCTGGACAGTACAGAAGTTTGCAGCGATTTTGTTCGCAGCGCAATTCTGATTCCTGGAGAACGACTCACGGAGGTGCCGGTCGTGTAGTGCTGGATAGCTCATCTTTTGTGGGAAAGGTGGATCCACCTAAAGAACGTGAGGTTATGGGTCGCGGTAAAATTGAAATCAAGAAGATAGAAAATCCTACTAGTAGGCAGGTAACCTTTTCTAAGAGGCGAGGAGGCCTTTTGAAGAAAGCACACGAGCTTGCAGTGCTATGCGATGCAGAGGTGGCACTCATCATCTTTTCCAGCACAGGAAAGCTATTTGAATTCGCCAGCTCAGGCAGGTACGACGCCGTCAACCTAGTCATTATGCTCACATCTTGCGAGTGGAGGAACTTTTTATGCGCACTAAATTGCAGTCCAAATTCCCCTAGTGGTAGTAGTCGTTTACACTTTTTTCGTCTTACTCTAGTGATATGACTACGTCAAGTACCTGTATAATCTAAGCCATATGCCTTCAATTGTGCACCTTTTCCTTCAAGGTCACAGATAAGTTCTTAAATAAAAAATATGGAGCTCCGCAAGTTCATCAAGTAGCTGCCTTAAATAGTGAGTGATGGAAAATATTCACCTATCCGTTTCAATTTTTCTAGATGCTCTCGGCAAACCTTGAATGCATGTGCACTTACTGATTCGTTGGCATCATGTTCCAACGCTCACTGTATTCTAGGCCCTACAGCCTCCCTGCAGTCTGATCAATCAGTTGGGATTCTTGTCGATTTCCTTCCACACGCGTTGTATTGTTTTTAGTCTAGATTGTCTGCACGCATAGAATTCACAATCACTCCTGCGTTTCTGGAATCCCATTCTATACGTATTCTCCATTGTTGAGCGCTTGTGATACAGCAATCATTCTAGTTTGATCCTTTGGCACTGGGTGTCTAATCTCACTCTATCATAATTTTCGTCTCTGCGTGCTAAGTACCGGTACGAATTCCGAAGGCAATGGTGATCATTGGCTACTCACTATAACATAATGTTTCTCGGAGCGTTGTATGGTTTAGTCGGCACTTCTAGGGACAAGCACACGTTTCAAAGTAGATCTTCCTGTCTTCAGGGATTTTGTTGATCCTATTAGAGGATATGAAGAGTGCAATACCAATAAGTGAAGCGATAAATTTCTGCAGTTTGTACGTCGCAGCGACTTTTTGCCTAGGTTGCTGAAAAATAATCTGGTAAGAAACTAAAAAATATAACTTTACGATAGGGTCTGGATTCTAGTAACTGCCCCTGGCACACAGCACAATTGTACCACTTTTGCGGACAGTGTGTCACTCCTGGATGAGACAGGTGCCTTTTGTCCTCCAGAGACCTTAAATCTGGGCCTTGGATGAACTTTTGCCGCATATCGAAAGAAAGGTTTTGATCCCTGCTTTATGTTGATTTTTTGTGCTGTGAAGCATGCGCGATATTCTGGAGCGATACAGCAAGTGTCCAGACGGAGTGCAGACTACCGGGAACGTCGACGTAAGTCGTATTGATCCTGTACTCCCCAACTATGTATTCAGCATTCAGAAATGGCGTGCTTCGGTTTTCATCTTCTACACACTTCCAAAATGTGATATAGTTGAGATTCAAGTTTGAGTTGGTTTACACTTTGTATGCACATTGATCGCAGTTCATGGGTCGTGAAGTCGTGAAGCTACGACAGCAGTTGGAGCGGATGCAGCATTCGCAAAGGTATTGTGTTTAAGTTAAACAAGGAAATAAAGAGGAGAAGGCCTGAACATTCTTAAGCTGTAAAGAGAAAATCAACGAGGTTTCATATTATGTCAATTTTCCTGAGTGCATGCTTATTAGTTTATGGTCTCACCAATTTAAGTGCTGCTTCTGTCCATGGTTTGGACGACGTGGTCCTGGTATGCAGGCAAATGCTTGGTGAGGATCTCCAGGTTTTAACAGTATCCGACTTGCTGCAATTGGAGCAGCAACTGGATGTCGGTGCCTCTAGAGTACGAGCAAGGAAGGCAAGTATCATGTTTGGGAAGTATCACATTCAATAGTATCACTGAATTTACAGAAAAGACTTGTTTTTTAATCCCCTCTACCAGTAATCCTATATATGCGTAATTAGCTGAGATTTAAAATTACATTGTTCGCAGTTCTTAGTGCTCACGGCTTATTAGATCACTGAGGTGCAGGCTATGGCTGAGATTTTTTTTTTTTTTTTTTTTTTTTTTTTTTTTCTCCAGACTGAAATATTGATTCTTCTCAGGGTTCTACTGTTGCAGAACCAGCTTTTATTGGAAGAAATTGAACAATTAAGACAAAAGGTGCGTATCTGTCTTTTTCGAGGTGAACAGCGCTTCGGAGTTCTTTGTCATGCGATTGTGTAGAGACTTCAATATTCTAAATAATTAATTTACTGAAGTGGAGCTGTGAGACACTTTGTTGTACAGGAGCTTGATTTACAGGCCGAAAATGAAGATTTGCGTAAAAAGGTGAGAATCATCTCTTCATTCATCATGAGCCGATTGTTTATATCATTTTATCTTACGGCGAATTTGGCTATATCTCTCCACCAAAATAACATGTCAAAACTAACCGAATCCGTTGTGGCAAGTGTTTGTTTGTAATTACCTGTTTTATTCGGAAAAGCTTTGTTTGATTTCCCAGGTTGAATGCTGAAACAAAGGGTGAACTTAGCAGGTGCATAACTGGTTAAGCGTCTCAAGCAGCAGGGTCACCTCCCAAAATACCTCCGTTTGTTTCAGCATTCACCGTGAACTAATGCGCAAAGGTCCCAATTGCCTGTATTAAACATGAAAATTAGCATTTTTCCTGCACCTTTTCTAGCATGAGCAGTGCATTACCCTGCCCAATGTAGTGAATGGTCGGAGAGTTTACTATGAGTTTTCTCTTCATCCAGCTTGCGCATGTCAAGGAAACGGCCGAAGTTTCTGGCCATACTGGTACGTCGGAGAGTCCGAGTCAAGTTGCCAGTGCCTCTGCGTATGAGACTGGTGGGATTTCCGCGCAGGTGACCATGGTGTACCCCACACATCCGAACCTCCGTGACCCGCAGACATCACAAACTTCGCTGCATCTTGGGTGAGCTTCTGGGTCAAATCTGTAACTATTTCTTCAAGGTCTTACAGTTTCAGGCTTATGACTAGTCCGCTTATGGCTTAGTGCATTGATTCCTGGAATTGATTATCTTCCGTCTTTTGTCAATTTGAATTTCACTGTTAAAGAATTCGTCACTGAACACATACAGTGGTGGAACTTTTTAGGTTATTTCCTGAGTCATTTGTGCCAAACACTAGCAGAAGGCCATCCCAGCGAAGTCCGACTGATCCCGAAGGTAAAAAACCAGTTTCGCAATCTGTGTGCTTGGTATCCTATCTCTACCGCACTGGCTTTGGTCCTCAGTAGGTGACCAGATAGTGGAATTTCTTAGTTTAAAGTAATCCTATCTGCTACTGGATTGGAAACATCACTTTTATTGTCCTTGCTATAATTAACGGTAGCGCATTTTTCTAGCAATGTGAATTTGTGGCGCCTCTAGTAATTGATTGTGTCGTTTTTATGTGTCCTCACAAATACTACCTCAGTGGGTGCTCAAAGCTCCTGTTTCTGTTGTTTTTTTTAGTTTCGTGGTTGGATTCTTTAAGCATATTCAATCTTTATCGTCCATGTGATCTTGAACTTCGGGTATCGACAATTTGTCATACTTTCTGTTTTGCAGGTGAATCCTCTATAAGATGGGAACGGTATAGGGGTCAGGAATAGAGTTCATGCAAACTTTCCATGAGCGGGATGATGTTACATTCCAGGGTCTCCCTTTCCAGACGGTTGTACCGTTACCACTACCTAGTGATCGCAAATTCCCTCTACATGGTCCCGTCAAAATTTCCATCCATGTGTCGCTTATTAATTGGGTGAAGAAGTCAAGTAGTAATGCAACATCTGTAGCAAAACTACTAATGTGGTTACTGTTCAATTCATTCGCCTGTTTCTTCCAATCCTAGAGTGGAGGTCAAAAGCAGGTTGCATCTTCTTCGTTAGATCGGTTTCATCTCCGAGAAGGCAAGATTGTGGATCAGGAACTTGCCTCAGTTGAGATGCGGCGCGATGTATGTAGTGACAAGCAGAACTCGGGTCTTTTATAGAACAGTCGGCATAGGCCGGAAGTTACAAGATCTGAATCGGTTAATATACTCCCTCGGATAAAAGCATTTTTAGGCACATGATAGAATTTACGTTCATGTCCAAATCGCGAAGTGAAGCATGCGTACTGGTATGATGAGCTTAGAGTTGGACGAATCCATATATTTCTATATTATTGTAGAAAATCCTTAAATAGCAACGAGAAATAAATAGATCTGCAATCCTACTAGGGATGTAAATTTTTCCATTTCAGAACGAAAATGATAACTTCGTCAGAGGGGAACTGGTGAACTGCCCACGTCGGAGCAGTTGCACTAACTGCGGAGTGTCGATTTTATATTTGCAGCTGTTTTTAAGATGTGTGCCGCTACTGTTAGGAAGTGATCTCTAACACAAGCTATTTTGTTGATCAGGAATGAACATGCTGTCGGCGAGTCCCTACGTCCACAATTCTCTACTATCTCAACGTGACTTTATACCATATTGATAATCTCTACACGTTTTCAAACAAGGGCAGGGACGCGCCGGTAGGATAATGCATGTTGACAAATTCGCGGAAGAGAATACTGAGCTTCCTTTTCATTCTCAAACTATCATCTTAGGACACTTTTATCTTTCTGAAAATAACCAAATCTGTTCGTGTTTTGTACAATACATTCTGCAGAGTCCTCGTGACTACATGACTAGCTCTGCCAACTTCATCACAGTGGTCTTGGTCATTGTTGAACGTGGGTTTCTGTCTGTTAGCATTATGTTGTGGACCGTCGTCAGTTCTCAGCAATCCAGTTGAATGGGCACGTTGTTTCTTCGAGAGTGATCTCCAGCCAAAACTTTAAAATCTAAAATTAGGTTTAGTATTACAAATTACCATCCAATTCATTAGGTCATCAGCTAATTATGCAAACGAAGGCATTGTTTACATTCTATTTCTTTCCATCTTATGTATAATGAATACCAGAACTATTGGTTTCCAAGTAACTAAAAAACCTGTATCCATTGCCAGTTGTTGGAATACATAGTTATCAACAACACAAATTAATATTAAACATGATGCTGGAGCCCTGTTATTCACTTGGACATCAGTATCACAATACTTGATATATTTGAAGAATGCTTTGGTACATCAAACTACAAAAGAAACATCATAAGTTTGATCCATGGCACATGACTTGGATAATTTAATATAATAAAATTAGTCTCACATCCAGACAAGATGTATTGTGTGTGAGTATATATATATATATATATATATTCATTACTACAAAAAGATATGATACTTTTAGCTCTATGATATTTCATGTAATATTTTAATTCTTATATTATTCGTTCCAAGAAAAAGCAAGTTTTTTTTTTTTTTTTTTTTTTTTTTTTTTTATTGCAAAGGTGAAAAGACTTTTTGTCTAATACCTATGTGCGTAAATTTTTTACCTTTTAAAATATTATTTTACTGAATACTTGTAGATTTAGTGATATTTTTAGATGTATCATTAAAAAAATGAAATACAGAATAATTTACGTAATTACTACTTTAATTGTATGGAAATGAATAAAAATAATGTTAAGAATTAATGTACATATCCATGTATTTCAAAATATTAGATTATAATATTATTTATTATTGCTATCTATAATGTTTTTGTAGTTCTTATTGTAAAAATAATTTTCTAAATCTCATATATCCTCATAGAATAAAATTAAAACCATATTCAATTTTATTATGACATATAAATGAGTATAATTATATCTTTAAATACTAGAATTTTTTAATACCATCCTTCTAACAAAGTTTTCAATATTAAAGTTTAAACTATTATGAAGATTATAAATAATTATTTTTAATAATTAAAATGATCTATTATAAGATATTAAATAAAAAATTTAAGATATAAAACTAATGAAAAAATATTTTATGATTTTTTTGAATTAGCTAATATATAATTTCATTAATTATTAAAGTGAGATTTTTTTCAAGAATATAGAAAAGAACTTCCATTCTGATTGTTTGGAATTTGGCTATCAAAAATGATAACTTGTGTGTGTTTTTTTTTTTTTTTGGCAAAAATTGAATATAATGTTTTATTACAATATGATTTTAAAAAATTATTAAAATAGTAAAAATATTTTATCTAATGTTTCATATTAAGTACAAAAAAAAAATATAATTTTATACTTAAAATCTATCAACCTTTTATGTTATGTATTAACAAGATTTATAATAAAAATTTATATAGTATACTATTATATTCTTTTAAATTAAAAATTTGATATCATATTATAATAAAATATTAAGCTATATTTTTATACCATTAAATATTATATTTTTAAATAATTTTTATTACATTTTGTACTAAAAATAAATAATATTTGCATTATAATATAATTGTTGTATCTAATGTATATTATAAATTAATTTTGAATATGTACTTAATGTATACAATCATAAATATTTAATGATATATTTTTTAAATATTATTAGTTATTCAAATTATTATTTTAAAATATTAATGTGGCTAAAAGGATAATAGTTATTTTTTTATATATAAAATTTATTTTTTAATATAATAATAATAATAATAATATTTTTTATAATAAGAGTTTTTTTTATAATGAAAGTTAATTGTATCGAATTTTAATTATTATCTCTATTCTTACAAATTAAAACTTGTAACTATTAAAATATAAAAATTAATCCAATAAATGCATAGATTACTTAAATAAATAAAAGTACGTATGTAGAAACATGTTTGATAGCTATTATCTTTTTTAAAATGCTTTGACGAGGTTTTATAGATTGAAATTACATATATGCTATATGGCTATGAAAACCTGTCCCATAAATTTCTTCTTTTTAAGAAGTTGTATTGAATGCAACTAATAATTTGTCAAGAATATGAATTTCAAAGAACTAAAAAATTAATACACTCTTGTATCACTCAAAAAGATTAAAAAATCTCTCAATAGTGGTATAATATTATACTGAAATGGCTATTGCCAAAGATAAAAAGATTAAAAAGTCTGAAATAAGACTAAAGACTAAAAAGGCATGGTAAGAATAAAAAGACTTTACTTTTGCTTCCATATATACTATCTATTGGGAGCTATAGGTAATGTTCTATAGACTTTTGACAAGTGTTTACCTACAAAACAAGTTTTCTATATGTATCCCATATAATAACTTGTTCTACAAGCTACTAGCATATGTAATATATGGCTAACTTGTTGGCCAAGTTTTTAACCTATCAATCAACTACAAACATATCTAAAGTCAAAATGTGTCTATGAAGCTTTTAAAAGGTTTGCCACAACATAATATCAAATCTACCTACATTTATCTTCTATTTAATACTTCTTATGTGAATAAATATGTATGTCCTTGATATTACTGCCTCTTTTAGAAATAAGTTTCATAAGGAGTGACAATCATATGTTGAAAAAGTCTAAGATGCCACAAATTTTGTTTGTTACATATTCTAATGCTTATTTTTTTTAAAAGTGATTGATAGATTCTCTCAGCCATCAATGGTATTCTATACCAAGGCAAGAAAACCATCCCTTTTGTTTAATCATTGTTGAAGCTTTCATAGCTCTTTTTAAATAAAATATTTGGAATACCATCATTAGTAGTTTATACCTCCAATAATATCACCAAGCATTCAAAGTCTCTTTTAAAATCGTGATACTAAACATATTATATTTTATCATCTATTTAAAGATAAAAATGTCATTCTTAAGGATCTTTATTTCTATTATGTTGTCTTGAAGGTTGTAATAATTGCAATGTTTCATTTAATAATTTAGCAAATAATAGTTCTTGAGTTGAATTTTTTGGTTGGTCTTCTATCTCCTTTGTGCCATAAATATACAAAAATTATAAATAAGGATAGAAGGTAGAATGCAATTTTTCTTGAACCATATTTTTTTTGTAGAAAAGATTTGTTATCATTCATCTTGATTTGGATGGATGTTATCAATATTTTTTATTGTATTTGCTAGATTCTTGATTGACTTCCATGCACATTTATTAATATCATATTTGTACCAATGAATAAGATATTTTAACCTATTTTAGAACTGTCTTGAATCTAAAACTTCTTCAACTTCATATTCTTGATTATTGTCTACTTTTATAAAAAGAATGGAATTTATTATTTTCTTGGTATATCTATTATCTTATATAGTTCAAGAAGAGATATATGGAACATAAGATGAATCTTTATAGACTCTAATAGGTGTAATCAATAAGAAACTATATTAATCTATTTATATATAAGAAATGCTTCAAGTCTATGATAATCTAACTTCTCTCAAGAGCAAATAGTTTTAATATTATAATGAAATAATTATACCTTGTTGCCAACAATGATTTGAGATTGTTCTTTGCAATAAGTATCTGTATTGATCTTTTATCATTCTTGAGCTTCTTTTAGTTGTGTCTTCATTGTTGCATAATGATTTGCTAAATCTTTCATAGCAAGATTATCAACTTTTAAAAAGTCAAAAATATCAAATTGTGGACGATATCCATAATTGACAAAAGAAAATTATTGAATAAAAAAATATATCATACTATTATAAATAAATTTTATCAATAGTAATTTTTTTTTCAATCATCTTGTTGGTAGTTGATGGCATACATCAAATATTGTTCCAAAACTTGATTTATATGTTCTATTTTTCTATCAGTTTGAAGATAGAAAGTTAAAGATAATTTTATATCTACCTTTAGAATCTTAAAAAGAATTTTTTAAAATCTTGATACAAATTGAATCTCTCTATCTGATATAATATTTCTTAATAATTGATAATAGTGATAAATATTATCAAAGAAAAGCTTATTTATTTCTTTACATATAATAGATTTTGTATAGGATATAAAATGTACCATCTTAGTAAATTGATCTACTATCATGAATATAGAATCATAAGAGTCTGAAATTAGAAGATCTATGATAAAATCTATAGAAATAGAAGGCCACAATTGTTTTGAAATAAGTAATGGCTGAAAAAGTCCATAAAGTTGATGATGAGGAGTTTTTAATATTGAAAAAATGTCACATGATTGTATAAAGTCTTTGACTACTTTCTACATTTGAAGTTATAAAAAATCTCTAGATATTAGCTCCAAAGTCTTGTTGTATTGAAAATATTCAACTATTAAAAAATCATGATAAGCTTAAATAATACTTAATTGTGCTTTATTTTTTAAAATATATAAGTAATTTTTAAAATAAAATATATTATTTTTGAATTCAAATTAAGAAGTATTATGAGACTTAAAAGAATTATTTTTAATATCATGAACAAGAAAATTAAAGGGCATATTTACTTAAATTTTCTTGGAAATG